AGGTGACCTGCGCACACACACGCACTAACATTCAGACAAAAGGCAGCCAGGACACTGCATGTTTTCAGACACGACTGTCACCCCCAACTGTGGATGGACACCTATCTGCTGTGACCTACAGCATGGTATTCCAATATTAGGGAAAATATAAATAAGGAAAAGCTAGTGCCGGCAACACCAGGGACCCAGGTTTACTGCAGGACTCAAATTCAGAGATGTTTTTAAAGCAACTTAGGAAGTTGCCCACTTTCTATCTGAAAACTGTCACCCATGCTGAATCTGAAAATGCTGTGAATTTTCAAGTAACTAGGATGAGGAGATGGCTCAGTAGAATAAGCAGCTGCCTTTCCTGCAGGACAAAAGCTAAGCCCTCTTTTTACAGGGCTGCAGGCACTGCCCAGCACAAAGCCAGCTCGCATACAGTAGGCACCCACTGCGTGCTGGTGCTGGCCCGCTTCAGCTGCTTCTCATGGCTCATGCTTACAAAATCAATGCAGCCAAAATAAAGAAGGAAATGACAATCTCTTGAAGCCCCCACCCCCACCCCCACCCCAGGTATGGCAGCCAGTGGCTAAGGCAACAAGTAAAAGTGATATAGTTGATTTTCATTATTGGCCTGCAGCTTGCAAAAATAGCAGAAGCAAGAAACATTTTTATTAGTAAACTAAGTCTTAGACCAAGCCCCAAAACCAAAGTAAAAAACTATTCTCTAGGTCTTTCCACTGTCAAAGGGCTAAGGTGAATTTGGATAAAGGCACTACAATACAAGAATAAAACATGGGATCAGGGAGATGGCTCAGTGAAATAAGCGCTATCCTGGCCAAGTGCAAGGGCCTGAGTTCAATCCCTGGTTAAAAAAATAAAAAAACAGCCTGGGCTATATTTTGAAACATTTGATTTTATAGGATATTTAATTCTTTAGGAAAATCACTATATGCCTGAAACAGCTACTATAACCTACAAAGATACCTGCTCGTGCTACCATTTAAGAACCAAAATAAGCAAAAGAGAAAAACAGAAACTGCTGCATTAAAACAAACAGCACATCCATAGTCTGTACCACAGTACTTTACGGCACATCAAAAAGGAGTGCTAATTCTTTACCATTTTAAAACAGCATAGCACTTCTTTGCTGGAAAGCATACACAATAAAACTGGAAATGCCAACAGCCATCCAGACTAAACTATCTTGAGAAATCCAACCTCATTTTAGATTCATATGAAGACTGCACTGCCGATACATCACTAGCCTTTGTGGTAAGACAGACTGAAACTAAGGCCCTCATGCTGAGTTATATTCCCAGCCCCTTTTGATTTTTGTTTTTTTAATTTTGAGACAGGGATTTGCTCAGCTGGTAAACTGGCCAGGCTGGATTGGAACTTCCCATGCTCCTGCCTCAGCCTCCCAGAGTGCTGAGCCTGCAGGTGTGCGACACCATGCCCGGCTCCATTTGTGTTTTCTTAACCCAATCCTCAATCGTAAACTACACAGGACCAAGTTTCTTTTTCCAGCTTCCCTCTGCCTCAGGGTATCCAATCTCTGCTGTTACAACTTCAACTGCCCCTTTATAGTGTTGCTACAAGTCACAGAGCTGGAAAACTCAGAATTTATTGAGAGGGTCACCAACCCGCACATCAGACTTACTTAGGAATTTTAACCTAACTTCATTGTTATGTCCAAGGTAGCATAATACAGTATATTTTCACCTGAGCATTTTTTAAAGAAAATAAAGGTTTATTGAGATACAATTCACATACATAATAGTCATGAACTTAAAATGTATACTTCAACTGCTGTTAGTGTTTCTGAACCTGCGTGGCCACCACCGCAAACTAAGTTCAGACCATCTTCATCGCCCTGCATGGAGCCCTGCACCCGTCAGGTCAGCGGCAACTCTCCGCTCTCTCCTCCTCCAGCCCCTGGCAACCACTAAGCTGCTTTCTGTCTCCATGGATTTGCTTATTCTGGACATTTCATGTAAATGGAATCAACAAGATACGATCTTTTCTGGCTGAAAAAGCTGACTTTTCCTGCTTTCTCTGATGTTTCCACCGCTTGTCTATTCAACCTGGGAGTCTTCCTTGTGTTTCGGCTTTTCCAATCCTTCTGACAAATCAAACATATGACCCTCTCATCTTCAAATCCTGACCCATATGCCACCACCCTTTAACTAAATACCTTTTACATACTATTTTGCTCTAAAGAAACTAAACTATAATTTACCAGTGAGGTACTTTCAAAAATTCTTATTCTCGGTTCTCCTCGTAGGTAATAATAATAACAACAATAAACTAACTTCTTTAAACACCAACATTTCACATACCTACATTTCTCTGACAGTAGGATGTTGCTGTACTTGGAGCAGAAAAAAAAAAGAGTAAAGCCCTTTTTAGGAGATGGCCACGTTTAAAGTACATGTTGACTCAAACAAAGAAAACAGCCATCAGAGTATCTGGCCGTCACTCCTCCCTTATTTAGAAGATCTGCTCATGCTACGGTGACACAAAGCAAACATGCCCATATGACTGCATTTGCTGCCCAAGCTGCTAAATGCTCTACTGTTAAGTTGGAGAGAAAACATTCCCCTCGATGCCATCCCACTCAGAAAGAAATTTCTGATCCCCAAATATGTCAACGTAGTACCTGCAGCTAATCAACAGCATCCTAGTCTTCCTAACTACACTGGGAGGATAGCCAAAACACACTCTCTCTGATCAGATTGGGCTACTTACTTCTGAAGTAAGTGGCCTGGTATCTTTCAGTCTAAAAACTGAATATGTGATTTAAGTATATTATTCAATCCTCAAAGCTACAAAGAGGATGAGAGAGTCAGCCAATGAGACAGGACTTTCCACACTATTAATAGGATCTGGGGGTGCCTTCTACTCACCCATCAGATTTCAAGGCATTACCCATTTAGAAAAGACGCTGAAAAGCGCCTGGGCATCACAGGATTACAAACATACACTAAGGGATACTTCCCTGCCTGTGTTCAGGAAGTGCAGCCTTGTAGCCAGTTTTCTTCCAGATAAACACTCCAAGCAGTAAGGCGTCATATTTGAAATCCCGAGTACTGCCCCAGAAAAGTGAGGCTATCACTGCTACTTTGGCTTTCAAAACTTGAGTTAAACAACAAAACTCAGCTGGCATATCTTAACAAAAGCTCAGCTTTCTGGTCTCTTATAAACTATAGCTTTCAAAGGTGAGAGACCTTCCACTGTTCCCCTACTCCGGAAGCCTTTCGCCTAATCCAGTATGCGCTCAAAGTTTGGAAAACAAAGAGCACCAGATTTGCGGAGGGCTGGGCCTGCGCCTGCGGCTTCCCCTAGGTAGTAAACACGCGCATTCTATAGAGATCTGCTCTTACTCCATCGTGGGCACATTTTTTACAAGGCGTTCTAGGGTTTGTTTATAGAAAAAGTCTTCTTCAATTCTCTGTAATGGGGCCGCGCAACCCCCGCAGTCTCCGGTTTCTCTCTCGCTCTGGAAGCCTCGGTCGTGATTTTTCAAAGTTAATAGGCACCACCTGCATACTCTGGGCAACCATTACTCACCAAACATTACTCACCTCCCGTTCCCAGCCCCGCTTCTGCATTTTAAACTTCCAATCGTGTTCAAATCAGCCTATCACCGAGAATGTGCCAGTTCACCACACTTCATTATTTTGGAGAACAACACCCTCCCCCTGCTCTGGCCTCCACAAGCCACCGGGAGCTCTCTGTCCCCGTGCCCCCTGCCCACTGCCACCCACCCCTAACCGACACCACCAAAATGAGAGCTATCAGATTGCAGGCGATACTAGCAGGCTGCCAGGAGTACTTCTTACTATGTACAAAGAAGTGCGGGACAGGGGGTTGGCAACGCAACACAACTCTGGACACAACAAAACCATGGCCAGGGCTGCCCACTCTCGCCACCACGGACCGACACTCCTTAAATGACAGCGCACAACATCTCTCGCCAAGGACAGGCGTCTAGGCGTCCCGGTTGCGGCAGCCGTGTGGCTACTGCAATATCCCCCGTTTCGAGAAAGTGTGTGCAAAGCACAGGTAGGTTCTGACCACCCGCCCACCAGTGCCCACCTGGACATTTCCCGGCCACCCCAGAGATTCTTCAGGGGAAAAAAAGGCGTCCACGGGGCAGGGAAGAAACTGAGGAACTGTCCCAGAACCCTCTGAACCGGGAGCTCGGTGGCGCTCCCTGGAAGAGCCGGGCCGAGGTCCCTGACCTCGCAATTCCCTGGGGGCACTTTCCCTATCCCGGCCACACAGGGCAGCACCCGGACCCGGTGTAGGGAAGGAATCCATCCTGGGGCGGGCTAAAGAGTGATGGGGAAGGGGACGGAACCCAAGGAGTTGGGAGTGGGAGCAAGCGGGGCGACAGGAGACCGCGCCAGGATGTTTGGAAACGTCCCGGGGTTGCAGGACCTCTCCATGGGGCCCCTCTAGAGATCAACTTAGACCCAGAAGGGCGGGTGGCTCCCCAGTGTCCCGCTACCAGATCACCAGTCTACCCCAATGGCGACGCGAGAAGCAGCCAAGGGTACTGTCACTAAGATGTGCGCGCAGCGCTGGGGGTCAGCGCTGTGCGATGACCGATCTGGGCGCCTGAGAGGGACGAGGGTAGGTGGCCCTGGGGACAACTTCTCTACCAAGTACCCGCGCCTGGTGGACCTCTGAGCTGTCAGGCAGGGCACACCACCCACCCACCCCACCCCACTCCCCGCGGGACCCGGCTCCCAAAATCGAGAAAGAGAAAGCCCCGAGGCCTTTCCCGCGTAGGGATGCTCTGAAGCGGGTGCCCGGGACGCTCCAAAACCACGATCGTGGGCCCGGGGTCCGCTCGTGCCTTCCGGCCGAACCCCTCGGCACTCCGCCCTGCCGCTCCCGGGCTCAGGGGCCGACAGCTGCGACGGTGGCAACTCGGGTTTCGCAAACAGGGCGCAGCCCCTCGGAGGAAAAGTTCCCGCAGTGGCCGCGGGCGGCGGGCACATACTCACTTTCTCCACTCGTCGGCCAGAGCGAGAGCGCAGCGGAGAGAAGCAGGAGCCCCCACAGCGAGGTCGGGGACCCTCCTCCGGAGCCAGCCTTCATTCCTTTGATTTGGGACGAAATTCCTCTTTTTCAAAAAAAAAAAAGAAAGAAAGAAACAAAGAAAAAGAACAAGGAAAAAAAAAAAAGAAAGAAAATAAAAAAAAAAGTCTCCAACTCAGTCTTCGCTCCCCCTCCAAAATCAAGAGCGAAGGAAACAATACTCCGAAGGCGGCGCCACCCGGCCCGACGGGCAGCGCGCACGGGGCGGCGCGGGGCGGCCACTCAGCGCCGGCAGCCGCGGCCCAGGGCTCGGCGGAGTCGAGAACCCGGGGCGCGCCGGGGCGGGCGGTCGGCGTCGTCGGCCTCCATTTTCAAACCCGGAGGGGCAGGCGCGGGGTGGAAACTGCGAAGGGGGCAAAGCCCAAATCCGTGCGGCCGAGGACACCCACACCCGGCCGCGGGCGAAGGGGCAGGGCGGCCGGGCGGCCGAGCCTCCGCGGCGGGAGAGCGCGACGCAGTTGGCAAGACCGGCCCGAAGTCCCGGTGGCGGGCGAGGCCGGCGAGGGGCAGCAACACGGAGAAAAAATGAATGAGCGGCCCCCCCTCCTCCGGGCTCCGCTCGCCGCCGCCGCCGCCGCCGCCGCCTCCCTCAGCGCCGCCGCCACCGCGAGCTCCTGCCCAAATCCAGGGCGCACACAAAGCGGCGGGCCGGCCGCGCC